TATTGGAGGTTGGTTGCAGAAAGAAGTATGGGGATGCCTGAGGAGAGAAGTTGAAATGTGAATTTTTTCCTTTGGAGACAGAAGAACAGTAACCACACTCAGTGTGCTGTGAGATGGGAAACTGATCAGCTGCTGTCCATTCCCTCTAGGACAGGACACTCTTATGAGTTGGATTTGTGGGCTGAAGAATTTGGTTTCATATCAGGATGAGCTTGTAGGGATCACTTGAGATGTTGGTACTGCTTCTGTGGTGGCACAATGGTGGCCTGGAAGGGCAGAGAGAGCAGCTGCAGTGGGAGAGGCTGGGCACAGCCAGTGGGTAGCTGGAGCTGTCTGCCTGGCTGTCCATCATAGTAATGGTGTGGCCTGAATGGTGTTGGGAAGTTCCTTAGAGAAGTGTTTTCTGAGCTTGGTGGCTGCTCTTTGGGCAAATCACTCATGTTAGTACATGGATTCTCTTAGGTGCTGGAGAGATGTAGAAAGAAGGGGTGCAGTGATGCTTCCCCTGGTAGCTGGAAATGCAAGGCTGCTGGGATGAGCTCTGCTATCAGCCAAGGGCTCAGAAACAAAATGAAGTTTCTTGCCTAAAGCACTTCTTGCCTAGCATCAGACGGTAGTGCTGACTGGGATGCTCCCAGCTGGTCCCGTTGTATAGGGAAGTGAGATGGGAGCTGCTGGAGCCATCTGCCAGTATATGTCAGTGTCTGTGCTTGAGTGCTGCAGCACGTCCCTGAGTGCAGGGAAAGCGGGCTGAGCTGCAGTTACACTGTACCAGTGCTTTGCTGCCTGTTAGTGCCTTCAGGCTCCTGGTCACACGGGTATACCTGGTGCTTCATCATCTCAGGGTGGTGTAGGTGGGCTGGATCCAAGATGATGAGGTCTGGAGGGGGAAGATGCTGGTGGTTGGAGGGGAGCAAAGGACCATGAAGATGTGGTGTGACATCAGGCCCAAGAAGCAAGAAGGCCTCCAGAAGGGCTGTCTGAAGTCCTGCAGGGTGAGGGCAGGATGTTTCTCTGCAGCTGACTGCTGGTGGTTCCCTGTGACACAGACCTGCTGATCTGGCACTGCCACAGGGCCTTGGTCACTCACATCCTCTTCCTGCTGTGATTTGCCTGCCCTGCATGTTTGTTTGTTCCTCACTTGTCCTTGACCTCTCATAAGGCCTCATAGTTTAAGTTAAACTTGAAGGGCTAAGCAAACACCAAGACCTGATAAGCTTGCAGGGGGAAGGGGAAAGGTGGGCATGGGCTGGGCCATACTAGACTAACTCTTTTGGTGCTTTTCTGTCCTAGATATTGCTGTGGAGTTGCTGCAGAAAGTGGCTCCCAGTCCTATCCGCAGACTCCAGAAGAAATATGTATCTCACGTATCTCGGTAAGAAGCGAAACGTGTCCCTTCATGTCTCGTGTCAGAACTTGGAGCTCTGGTCTTACTTGTGACTCACTTCTGTCTCCTGGGCCAGCCACTGGCTTTGTGCCTAGGCCTGATTAGTGTCAAAGAGAAGCTGGAGGCACGGACAGCAGGCACAGTGACTTCCTGATGCAGCCAGCTTCAAGTTTATCCTTCTCTCTGGGGTGCGCATGTGGTCTTGTTACTGGGAGTCTGTACTGACTGGATCTGCAGCACCCTGGGTAACCAGATTTGTACCTGGAGCCTCCTCTTGGCAGCTGAGCCCTCACAGCATGCCTTGCTGCAGGGCGGGCTGCTCAGTTTGGAGCTGACTGCCTGGGAACAGAAACCAGGGTTTTCACTCTCCACCCTGCATCCCTGGCACTTTCTGTGCTGCAGCTCAGGACAACTGGCACAGAGCTGGCAAGGCTGGGATCTCTGTAGCTATTTGCTAAACCCTCCTACTGTCTGCATGGAGAGGGAGCAGCCAGATTGTGTCCTGGTACCTGGGACGTTTGTGGCATTGGTACTTGTCCTGTCCTACAGGGAAGCTTGCATCTCACCCTGTTCCATGATGTTGGCACTGGTTTATATTGAGAGACTCCGGCACAGGAACCCTGAATACCTCCAGCAGATCTCATCTTCAGACCTCTTCCTGATCTCCATGGTGAGCGGTGGGCAGGGCAGTAACTGGGCTGGTGGGAAGTGAGTGCAGTGGAGGCTGAGATCCTGTCCTTTGTGCTACTTTTAGATGGTTGCAAGTAAGTATCTCTATGATGAGGGTGAGGAAGAGGAGGTGTTCAACGATGAATGGGGAGCAGCAGGGAAGGTGGATGTCCAGACCATGAACACACTGGAGATGAACTTCCTGAGCGCCATTGTAAGTAAAACTGTAACTTCTGCCAAGTGTTTCGCATCGAGGGGAGTCTGGATTTCTGGTTTTGTCCCACATGCTCCCATGAAGGGAGAGAGAAAGATGTGTCTGGGTGCTGGGTGACCTGCCTTGAATGCACTGACCTTTAACTGCTGTCCTGGCAGGACTGGAGTCTCTACACAGATCCTCGGGAGCTGTTTGAAGTGCTGAGCTGGCTGGAAGGACGGTAGGTGTCTAGGGTGGGGGTGATCCCTTATCTGTGTTGTAGCCTGGCTCGGTCTCTGCTTGGATGTAGCCCTGCTGCAGTGAAATAAGAGGTTGGGACACCTCTGAGCCTTAGCTAGGCTCTGCAGCTCCCTTCTACAGAGCTTAAGCAGGGTCTTCTCCAAACCTGCCTGGGTTGAAGCTGCTTTTATGGGGAAGGTCCATATCATTCCTGGATATGGCCCATATCATTCATATCGTGCTCCATATCCGCCATTTCCCTGGTTTTTTTTTTCTTTTTTTTTTTTCCTTGCAGTGTGGCTGAAAAACAGGGCATGTGGCGTGGCTGGTTTACCTACACAGATCTTTGTGTCCTTATGGAGCAGTCCATGTGGCAGCATGTGCTGGGCCAGTTCTACCAACAAGTGGTGAAGGTAAGGGCATAGGAGAGCAGCTAATTGCAAGAACATGGGACCCAGCAGGCTGTGGATTTGGAGAAGGACCCTCTTTTCCACTGAGAGCAGCACCTTGGATTATTCTCTGTTGAAAAGGGAAGCTCTCAGAAGGTGCTGATTTGCATCTGCACTGCCCGAGGCACTGCAGCCTGGTGCTAGGTAGTGTGGCCTGTGCTGGACCACAGCCCCACAAGCCATAGTGCAAGGACATGGTGGTGGCATGGAGGCAACTGGGTACCAGCTAGGGTTTTGAACAGGAACTGTTGGCTTTTAGCTGGGACATTTTGGTTTGTGATATTTAGGCCCAGCTTTGGGCAGCCTGTGTGCTGCCCACCATTAGCAGTGTGGCTGCCTGCTTTCGGCATCCAGCCTTGGAGCTGGTGATGCTTTTTCCTATCACGGCTGCTGGGTTGATTGTGGCCATGCTACATCGCAGCTGGCAGGGGGTGCTGCTGCTGGGGGTGTCTGGGCTAACATTTGGCTTCTCCTTAGCTGGCCTGCCTCCTGGGTGTGGTGTACCTGACGGGCTTCGCAGCCATCTTCGCCTCCATCAGTGTAGTGCACCGGTCTGTGTGCACGAGGAGTGTCAGCGCTGCAGCCCCCCGGCCTGCGCTGTTCCCCGAGGAGGGGAGGTGCCAGCTGGCTGCCCAGCCAGCCCCAGCCCCTGGCCAACCCCAGCCCGAGCTGCCCAATGTCTCCTCAGCCAGCTGCACCCGTTGCCTGGGGGAGAATGAGACGACCAAGGAGCCACATCGTGGAGGTGTCACGGCGACTGCGCTCTACCTGTGGAGCAGCGTGATGACGGCCCTGTCCTACCCAAAGGCACCTGATCTAGCCCAACACAGGCGCCTCCCACACGGTCCTTTCCGGAAAGTGCCCACTGCCTGTGAGAGATCCAACCGCACCGCCCCCACTGCAGCCCCCAGCCAGCCTGGCCCTTTCGGACTCGCCGTGCTCCCGGCTCCTCCGGTGCTCCACTGCCATGCTTGCTCAGCCACTGCGGGCCCCACATGGGATGCAGCCCCCAACCGTGAGGACTGGCTGGACCCCCTGGGGCTGAAGCAGTGCTTCTTGCATACTGCAATGGATCTCAGCAGAATCAAGAGTTTCATTTTTCCCAGCTAGGAGTGTAGGACAGCAGCCCTGTTCCCCTTCCCTCCTAGTGTGGCACAACTCACTTCCTTGCACTTCTGGGACCCCTGATCCTCGGAACTGCATGGGGCTGAAGGCTCCTGCGTTACTTTCAAACCAGCACTTGTGTCCCCCCACCTAGGGCAGGGATGTTTTTCACTTGGGGCTGCTGGGACAGGTTGGGATAGAAGTGGCTTGCTGGGGTGGGAACTTCATAGCTGAAGGGTAAATATGGGTTGCCTTTGGGCTGGGGTGTTTGTGCAAAGTGGGTATTTTACCTCTTCCTGTAGTGAGTGGTGTTGGACAGAGATGGCATATGGGATGTTGGAGGCTGGGACTGTGTGTGCAGGGTGGAGGGGCTAAGGCAGTGACCTCAGTGAGAAGGTGGGGTGCCTGGGGTAAGGGAGAGGAGGTTGAAGAGAGGTGGGAGTGAGCTGGCTGGTCATAGCAGTATTTGCATTTGCGGGCTTTTCAGCCACCTCTTGGGCCTTGCAAGAGTGACAATAAGCAGGTACCCCAATGTGGCTGTGCCCCACTGGGCTTGGTGGGGATGAGGTGTGGTTAGGGCTGAACTTCCTTATCCTGCTGTGTTGGGTGTTTTGAATCTGGGGTGCTCTGTGGCCCCATCCCAAACCCCAGCTGTCTGTGTCTGTGAGAAAATAGTGCCTGACTGCTCCTCAGAGTGGGAAGAAGGCACCTTGTCTTGCTGACCAGGCTAGCTCATCAAGCCCCTTCTTTTTACTGTGGATTTTACACGTTTTTCACTCTTTTGTAGATGCAAATCTCTTCCAATAAAAGTAGTTCTTGCTGTGTGCCTGCCTCGTCCTGCTGAGCTGCTCCATACTGGCAGCATGCCTGCCCCAGAGCAGAGCCATGTCCATGCAGCTGTGCCTGCTCCTGGAGCTGCTGTGCAAGACAAATCCTAGGTGCTGCCGGTGAGCCCAAGAGATCTTGGGCAGTCTCTCTTGACATGAGGGATATCAGGTCTGGTGCATGCAGGGATAACAGGAAAATGGAGGATCCCCATTCTTGGGAATGCAGGGAATGCATGTTCTCTTCATTGCTCTTTGCTCTCCAAAGTCTTACCTGTTAATGAGTGAGCCTTGAGCAGCAAGGGCTTGACCAGGTCACTGACGCAGCCACCTCTGCCCCGTGACAAAAACATGAGCATCTCTTTCCAGCCAAGCAGGCAGCCCCTGTCCCTGGCATCCCTGTCCAGTGGCAGGATTCAGTACTCTCCTAGGAGAATAGGGGATATTATAGACCCCTGTTAGAGACCAGGGTGGGCCAGGAGGGCAGCAGATGCTATGCTGGGGTGAAACAAGCATGAGCAGGGCATACTGAAGCTGGAGGATGCTGCTGGTGGGAGTAATCTAAGCCCATGGAGGGAGAGGCTGTGGCCTACCCAGTGCCCACAGAGGCAGTGACTGGGACCTAGGCTGTGGGTAGTTGGCATTGTAATAATGTCAGATGGCCTGCTTGTGGCTGCTTGTCACCTGGCCCTTGTGGTGACACACCAGGGTGACACTTACATTCCTGGCCACAAGGGCAGATTACTAACCAACTCAAGTTAATGGCTAATCCTGGGGCAGCTCCTGCAAAAGGTGGAAGTTCAGCCATGTGAGGATTTGGGAGGAACTCTTAAGGGTGGGAACCTGCCCACCCTCTGCACCGAAAACTGGGAGCAGTGTGGGGAAGGCAGCAGCATGAATGGGGGCCATGGCAGAGCACCTGGAGCTGGGAGCCCCCTGCTCACATCCTGCTCCTCCCAGAAGATGTGCTCCTGGATGATGAGCTTCTGCTTAGCCCTTCAGGTAAGGGGGGACCACAGTGAGCAGCCAGAGAGATGGGATGATGAGGAGAGAGCTGGGATCCTCTCAGATTGCAGCAGGGACCGCAGCAGGGCAGGGACTGCATCCTGCCAGGCAAAGGGTATACAGGGCTCTGGTCTGTGTGCTGGGAGAGGAGTGGGCAGTAGTGAGTGCTACCCAGGTGGTGTCACTGGGCATCCACCCTCTCAGGGGGACTGGGCATGGGGAGCTGCAGCTCTGGGTGTTGCAAGGAGTTGTGACTGCTCCATCTCTTCCCTGCACAGCACCTGGCTGTGCAGACCTCCTTGCTCTGCATCTTCCACCTCCTCCTGCTGCCCACCCTGCCTCAGGAGCCGCCTCATGCCCAGACCACCAGCAAGCTGCTGGCACGAAGCCTCTTTGCCTGTGGCATCTCCACAGTGCTGCAGACCACCCTGGGGAGCCGGTGAGCAAGGGGCATGAAGGGGAGCAGCTGTCACCAGGAGGAGGGTGATGCCATGGCAGGGCACATCTGTGTCCTAGGAAGTGGGAAGTTGAGCTTTGCTGGAATTGGGAAGAGGCCCAAGAAAAATCTCTTTGTGCTGCATCTCTGCACAGTTGTCACAGGTGTTCCCTCCCTCTCACATACACCTCTAGAAAAACTGCCATGCTTTCCCTCTAGCTCCTCACTGCCTTGCTCCAGCATCATACACAGCTCCTTCAGACCATCTGATGCCTGTGCTGCCCACATAGGCTGGGTATGGGATTCACCCTCTGACATCTGCATCCACTCCATGTGCTGTCACTTGGGATGTACTAGGGCACGTGTAGAATGTGGGGTAATCTGCCACTTTGGGGTTCTTATCTGCTTCCCTTCCCACCCCTGTTCCTATGGCAGCCTGGGCTTTTGGAGCAACCCTGTTCCCTTCCCTGGCCTTCCTCCCTAATGTGCTGCTGTTGTCCCCTTCCTCAGGCTGCCGCTGGTTCAAATCCCGTCCTTTGAGTACTTAGTCCCTGCCATGGTGCTGAGCTCCCACCTGTCCCCTGGTGCCAGCACAGACAGGAATGGTAAGCACAGCCCTGGAGCCTGTGTCCCTTGGGGCCCGGGCCATGCTCGTGCCAGGGGAATGGCAATGATGAGGGGTAGCAAGGGGTCCTGCCTGCTGGCCCTTCTGGGGATGGTGCACAGCACCCCACTCACTCCTGAGTGCACTTGCAATGTGTCTGGTCACTTCCCCAGGGCCAGGGCTTATGGAGACAGAGACACTGGCACACTTCCCCTTCTGCAGCCAACAGTCACCCTACTGCATCCTCCTGGACACAGCTCCAGGAGCCTAGGATCCATGTGTATCACACCCTTCCAAAATTCCCTTCCAGGCACAGCCATGGCCAATACATGCCTTGTACCTCATTGCAGAGACACAGGGAGCTGGGCTGACTCACTGCAAGAGGTGGGTGTCCCTGGGAAAGGGGTCCCTATCCTGCTCCATCAGCCTTCCACTTGTCACCCATATCCCTGTACCCCCAGACTCTTTTCCTGGGATTTGCCATGAAGAGAGTTGCAAAAGCAATGGGGATCATGATGCATGTCCATGTATATGTTTCTATGTGCTTGGGGTGAGCAGAGCACATGAAACAAGCGCTTGTTCCCACCTGCTGGGGTGGTGGGAATGTGGCCAAGGGAAGGTGTTGGACTGCTCTCCATGTATCCTGCCCCACAGGCCCATCCTTTCCTCTTACAGGTCTCTGGAGCAGTGCTGATCTCTGGGCTGATTCAGTTGGTGCTGGGAGTGTCTGGCGTGTGTGGGTGGGCAGTGCGGCACTGCGGGCCCATGGTCCTGGCCCCCAGCCTCTCCATCATCGGGCTGTCCACATACAAGGAAGCTGCTTTCTTCTGCTCCACTAACTGGGGAGTAGCACTGCTGTACGTGAGCCCAGGGACTGCAGTGGTGGGCAGCTCCTGGGCCTTTCTTTCACCAGCAGGACAGGGATGGGGCGCCCCCACAGTGCACGGTGCACATCTGGAGCCCCATCACTGACTGTGATGCTGTGTGGTGACCTATGCTCACTCTCCTAGGCTCATGCTCCTTGCTGTCACCTTCTCCCAACACCTGCAGTCCTGCCGCCTGCCCTCCTGTGCCTGGCCCCACGCTTGGGAGGGCTCCACAGAGTACTCAGTTCCCACCCTGCGCACCTTCTCGGTACTGTGGTTTGTCTGCTCTCTTCACTATCACCAGGCTTCTCTCTCCAAGCCTGGCTCTTTGGTGTGGACTTGGGTAAGACCTGGAGCGCAGCCAGGCATGAAAAGCTCCAGTGCAGCTCCCAGAACATGGATACTTCTGGGAAAGTGTTGGGGACCTAGGGTGTTGGAGCAGAACAGCTTGGGCTGCTTCCTGCAGGGGTGAGGGGTATGACTCCTTGGGAGATGTGACAGGACAAGGATGAGGTGCAGGGCAGATGTGACAGGGCAGGCAGGGGAGGAGGGTCCCCTGCTGAGGGTCCCCTTTTGCCTCGCAGGTACTGCTCCCATTTGCTGGTGTCTGCATTGTCTGTGCCATCCTCAGCTACTTCCACATTCCCTGGGAATCCCTGGATGTGACTGTGGCACAGCTGTCCTGGGCCAACAGCACCTCCAATGCCCCTTGGATCCACATCCCCTATGCAGGTGGGAGCAGCGGGGCTGAGTGCAGACATGCACGTTTGGTCAGGATTTCTATCACCTGTCCCTTTTCCCTCTGCTGCAGGAGCGTGGAGGTGGCCGCTGCTCACCCCCCGGGCGCTGGCAGTGGGCATCGCCATGGCCATTGGCTGTAGCATGAGCTCTGTGGGCTGCTATGTGCTGTGTGGGAGGCTGCTGCGAGTCCCCCGGCTACCCCCTGACGCCTGTAACCGGGGGCTTTGCATGGAAGGGCTGGGCAGCCTCCTGGCAGGGCTGCTGGGCACCGCAGGGGGCACGGCCTCCAGCATTGCCAACACCTGTGCCACTGGCTTCACGCAGGTATGCCGAAATAGGGGAACGGGTTGGCAAGGGATGGGGAGGCAGCTGAGCAGGTGTGCGGGACTTGTAATTGCCAGACTGTCACCGAGCCAGCGCTGGGAAAGGCAGGTGTGTGCAGCAGAAGGAGGCAGGGGGTGATGCTACCCATCCTCACTTTCCCACTCTTCTTTCCCAGGCTGGCTCTCGTCGCTCAGTGCAAGTAAGCGCCCTGCTGTGCATGGTGCTGGGCATGTCCCCGAGGCTGGCAGGGCTCCTCACCCATATCCCACTGGCAGTTCACGGTGGGTACCCTGCCCTGCCCCTTGCTGCGGCACCTGCAGCCTGTCTGGCACCTCCTGACTCCTGCCCCTCGCAGGAGGGGTGCTTTGTGTAACCTACGCCGTGGCTGTGGGCACGGGGATCTCCTACTTCCAGTACACAGACATTGACTCCGGGAGGAACATCTTCATTGTTGGCTTTGCCATGTTCATGGCACTGCTGGTACCGCGGTGGTTCGGCACAGCTCTGGCTCCCCTGGCCACAGGTATGAGGGACATTCCCCAGGCAAGGCAAAGCCTTGAGTCCCATGGAATGGTGACCACACATCTCCACTGTTCTGGGAGGCTGAGTCAGCTCATGGTAGCAGGCAGCTACCTCTTCATCCCTGATTCTGCCATGGTTGCTCATGCCCCTTACCCTTGGCTGGGCTGGGACATCCTGGCTGATTCTGGCACTGTCCTTGCAGGCTGGGTGCCATTGGATCTCCTCTTTCTCTCCCTGCTTATGGTCCCTGTCTTCCTAACTGGCTTCTTGTCTTTTTTTCTGGAGAACACGGTCTCAGGTGAGGGGCTGCCTTAGGTGTTCTGCATACACCATGCTCTGAGGACTGGATCTGTCCATGGGGCAAACCACCAGCTCTGCCTCCAGGTGTTTCTACTGAGGGTGCTGGGGCTGGTGTGGGCTAGGAGGAAGGGGCTCCCATTTCACTGCCTACCTCTCTGCTTGCAGGAACACTGGAGGAACGAGGGCTGCTTTCTGAGCAGCCATGGAAAGCCAGAGCTGGTGATTGTCACCTCCATGGAGAGAGAGGGGAAGCCAGCCAAGCATATAGGCTCCCCACTGGGCTAAGGAGACTGCTCCCATCTTCCTGCAAAGCCTTTCTGTGCTGCTTCCTCTGCCCGAGGAGTGAGGAAGAGGAGGAGGGCAGCTGTGCCACTGAGGAGGGGACTGCTGCCCCAGGGGAAGGAACACACCTGCTCCCCAAAACCAGCTCTGGGGAGCTGCAGCCAGAAATAAGGCCAAGCCAGACAGACATGCCTGCATGGAACACTGTGGCCTGACCATGTCATCTGGGGCACCTCATGTGAAAACAGAGGCAAGCCCTTGAGGCAGCTTGTGAAACACTTTGCTCATTTCTGAAGCCCTTGAGGACTGGAGGAAACCTGAGCTTCCACCCTCCTAACACAAACCTAATTTCCCTGCTTGAGAGCAAGATATAAAAACCTTCAACCAACTATGCCTTTTCCAGGGGTTTTCTTTCCAGATGGGATTTACCTAGGGGATCCCCTGTTGCCCTGAGGCCTGTGACAAGAGGGCAGGGCCACCTGGTGCCACTGCAGGTGAGGATGTGGGTACCTCTAAAATCCATCATCACCCTGAGGACATGACACGGGGAGGGTTCCATGCTTTGGCCAGCCCCAGAGAATTGTCACTCTGGCTATGCTCACCTGCTGGCACTGTGCTGTCCATCTCCTCCCTACTGTGTCCCAGTTGTGCCTATGGATGATGAGGTTTGGAAATCGGTGCCTGCGGTAAGGGTGGGCCTCAGTGTGGAGGGAACTGGGGCTATGTGGTGTGCCAAGTTGGCACAATGCTGCTCTGTGTCACCTTGTGAGCCCAGTGCCCAGGCACGGGGACAGAGGCAGCAGTAGCCGAGCTGGCAGGGCAGCGGAGAGGGTGCGTGCCCTGGCCGTGCCTGCCCCGGCACTCCGGGGCTGAGGAATAATCCTGCGGCCAAGGAACAGGGGGAGCTCCGCGCTGCCGCCGCCTCTCCGGCTGTCCAGGGCCCCGTACCCAGCCGGGCACTGTGTCAGGACAGTTCGCAGCAGGCACAAGCGCAGAACAAAGTCCTAAAGCATTTCGGTCCCCACCGTGGCATCCCTCGCGGTCGCTCTGGAGGAGCACGCCAGCTCGGTTCGCTGTCCGTACGAGCGGGAAGCGAACGCCAGCGCGCTGCGAGGAAGAGACGGCGGCTCCCGGAGCGCAGGCGGCCGCACATCCCGGCGTGCCCCGGCCCCGGGGCCGCGGAAGAGAGCAGCATGCCGGGAGCCGTAGTCTGCTTCGCCTCGGCCCGGCGCCGCTCGCCGCACCGTGCCTCTGTCTGCATCGCCCGGCCGCCGCTCCTCCTGCCCTCGGTAAAGCTGCGGCTCCGCAGAGCCCCAGGCCTGCGCGCACCCCGCGGTCGCTGGTCCCCGAGTGTTTTGGGAGGCGTGGAGCCGGTCCCAGGGAGAGCGGGAAGCAGTGGCTGCCGGCGCTCTGCCGGTGTCGGCTCGGGCTCGCAGGGAGCGCAGGGATGGGTGCCCCAGCAGCAGGAGCGGGGTGCGGCACCCAGCTGCCCGCCCGGTGCCGGCGGGGCGGCCCGAGTGTTCCTTTGGGCGTAGAGCTCTTGCCGTGTTAGCGGCAGCAAGCAGCGGGTAACCCCGGCAGGAGGAAGCAGTTCCGCTGCCGTGAGCCTGTGGTGCATCTGGGGCGCTCACTGTGAGCTGCGGCACGACCTGCCCTGCAGCCAGCTCCCGAAACTCAGGCCCCAGCTCTGCTGCTGCATGTGTGACCTGAGCTGGCTGAGTATCCGCACTTCTGTGCAGCCGGGACTGATGGTCCCTGTGAGGCCACCCCAGGGACCAGATCTTCCTGGGTTGGGAGTGAGGTGGAGACCTGGTTGCTCTCTTGCAGATGGAGGGCTCCGAGGAGCTGGAAAGCAGCCTCCTGACCCAGCCCTGGGCTTCTGTTCGTTTTGGCGAGTCCACTTTTCTTGCCAAAGTGTGCTTCAGGGATAGTGGCTATATCCTGCTGATCTCTGACCTCAGCAGTGTCTGGTACGAGAGTGCAGATGCCGAGGCTGTGGGACAAAGGTCCAAGGTGAGTGTCTGAAAAGGCCAGGGGCCTCCTTTTCTCCTCCCAGCAGCTGACATACCAGCATAAATTGCTTGGTGACACAGTAGCTGTTGGGTCTGACTGGGCTCGGGTGCAAATGCCCAACCTGGGAAGTCCCTGTGCGGCTCTGCCCGAGCCCTCTCACCCCATTTGGCCAAACGCCCTTCTCCCGGGAGAGTGGGCCACACTATTTAGCATGCCTGGGGCAGCCAGGTGGGTCTGCATACAGAGGCTGGCACAGTCTCTTCACTTGTGGGCTGGATGGGCAGCTGGTTTCCCCAGGGTCAATGTACTAAAGAGGAGCTTAAAACAAGGCTGCCTTCTACTCATGACAGAGAGATTCTGTTCACATTCATAGCTAGTAGTCTCTCATGGGGCATCCTGTCAGCTTGGCCCCCAAAAATGCATGGAGCTGTGCCTCATCTCCTCAGCCCATGAGCCCAGGCGTTCATGTGCCATTGGAGGGGCATGTGTCTGTGTCACATAATGCTGAGTGGCTGGTGGCAGGAGGGACAGAAGGCTGCAGCCATCCCCTAGCTCTGGCAGATTGTCCTGCTGTTTGCTCTCAGCCAGGCTATGGTGCTTGTGGTGGCATGCAGAACAGATGTGCTGGCGCAGACTGTTGCACCCTGCCCAGCCTGAACCGGCAGGATATGGGAGTCTTCCCAGCATGGCTGGCTTGGGAGAATCAGTGAAGAATGTCATGTCAGAGAGCTAGAAGCCAAGGCCCAGGGATGGCTTTTTGCTGTGGAACATGCAGTAGTTTGACTCCTTTGGTGTTGAGATTTCTGCTGGTTTTTCCCCAGTGCTGTGCCGTGTCCTCTAACCTTGCCTTTTCCCAGGAGCTGAACAAGCGGCTGACGGTCCACGTGTCCTCCTTCCTGAACCACTTGTGCAACTTGATGTGCCCCTTGCTGGCAGGGCAGCCGGGTGCCACCACTGCCTTCTCCTGCCACCGCTCTCCCAGTGGCCTCAGGCTGCACGTGAAAAGCGAGCTGTCAGGACTGCCCTTCTACTGGGATTTCCACTGCTGCCCAGCTCCCTTGGAGATGGTGAGCAAAGCTGCAGTGAGTTCAGGGAGGGGAGTGGCCAAAATGAAGGATAATCTCCTTACACTTAGAGGCTTTTGAGTAATCTCGAGGCACGCTGGTGACTGTAGGTTGCCTGACTCTGCCTTCTGCCTCTCCCAAGGCTTACTGTCCCCATTTCTTCCCATTGAGGCTTTGCTTTGTGCCATGCAGCTACGCAGAGATGGCCCAGCGCATACTGCTGCTGGGGCATAAGTGAAATGACCTCATGAGAGCCCATCTGGTGTTCGCCATCAAAATATGGGGTGCTTGGCACAAGAAAAACATTAACGTGTTAGAGGGGATCCAGAGGAGAGCTACAAAGATGATAAGAGGGCTGGAGCTCGTTTCCTACAAAGACAGGTTGTGAGAGATGGGATTGTTTGGCATGGAGAAGAGAAGGCTCTGGAGAGACCTCATTGCAGCCTTCCGGTACTTGAAGAGGGCTTGTTAAAAAGAGGGAGAACAGCAGATTGTGATAGGACAAGGGGAAATGTTTTTCAACTATAAGAGGAAACATTTAGATTTGCTGCTAGAAAAAAAAGTCTTCATTATGAGGGTGTTGAGGCACTGGAATACGTTGCCCAGAGAAATTATGGATGTTCCATTCTTGAAAGCATTCAAGACCTGGTTGGATGGGGCTTTGAGCAGCCTGATCTACTGAGTTATATCAAAAATCCCTTCCAAAGCAAACTTTTCAACAATTCTATGCCCAGTGTGGGGTGATGCCCCGCCAGCACTCTGTAGAGCAGCGTGATGCTGTTCTCTTTAGGAGCAAGCCATGAAGCAGGGCACAGGGCGGCAGATGACCCGCAGGTGGTTGTGTCATGACGGGCGGAATTAACAGCGGATTCTCCCGGCTTTTAAGTGTTTGCTCTTTCGCGGGGCTGCGCTTGCAGAGGCAGCCCCTCCGGACCCTGCAGGGGGACTCCCCCGGGCCCTGCGTCCCTGCGCGCACAAGAGGGCGCCCGGCGCCCGCGAACCGCCCGCCGCAGCCCGGCCCCGCGCCGCCGGTGGGAGGCAGCCCCGGCAGCCCCCGGCAGTCCCGCAGCCCCGGCAGCCCCCACAGCCCCCCAGCCCCGGCAGCTCCCGCAGCCCCGGCAGCCCCCACAGCCCCCCAGCCCCGCAGCCCCCGCAGCCCCCCAGCCCCGGCAGCCCCGGCAGCCCCCGCAGCCCCGGCAGCCCCGCAGCCCCGGCAGCCCCGCAGCCCCGACAGCCCCGCAACCCCCACAGCCCCGCAGCCCCGCAGCCCCGGCAGCCCCGGCAGCCCCCGCAGCCCCGACAGCCCCGATAGCCCCGGCAGCCCCGGTGCCGCTCCGCTGCGGGCCGCCTTTCCTCGGCCCTGAACGGCCGTGCTTGGGCATGGCGGGGGGACAGCCGCGCTCCCCAGCTGCTGCGGGGGCTCTTCTCCCCGTCAAAATCGAGCTGGGGAGCGCGTAATCGGGCTCCTGGCTTGGTTTACCCCAGCAACTTGATGTCTCTCCTCGGCCGAGACGCACAGAGGCTGAGCTGAGGAGGTGCAAAGCCCCTGTTCCCAGCTGCTCCTCTACTTTATCTTGGACATGCACGCTGGATCTCTGCAAGACACCATGGAGGTGGGAAGCAGCTGGGGTGCTGAATGTGGCTGGTGTGGATGAAGCAATGGGGATCAACTCTGCCCCAGCCCAGGGCTTGAGGAAGGCATAGAGCCTACCTGGCTTGGCCTATCCCAGCTCTGCTGCAGGTGGTGCACTCCATGTTCTCCGGTGGGTGATGGCCATCACCTCTGGGGTCATGCCTGAGGGTGAGCAAAGCACAGAGCCCAGTGTGGGCTTGCCAGAGGAGCGAGAATGCTTCAGGAGCAATGCTGGATTTGCTGTCCTCTCACCCATGGAGTCAGCCTGGCCACAGAATCAAGGGGCACAGTAGGCTGGGGGATCTCAAATACCCTTGCAGAGACTGAGGGAGGTGATAGGAGAGAGGCTGCTTTGTGTGCCTTCTGGGCCAGGGTGGCCCAGCTGGGCTCCAAGACAGAGGACATGCCCAGGGCTCTGCATGGATCAGGTATGGTGTAAGCTTAGAGGGTATACTGGGGAGCTGCAATGGAGAGCATGCACAAGTCCTACATGTTGAGATCTCTTTTGCTTCTGATCTTACTTCCCTGTGAGTAACAGTCTCTCCTGTTCATCAAGCCACAGTTTGACACCTTGGGTCTTTCTGTTTTTTCACCCAGCCATGCCTGTTTCTTGCATAAGAACATGCCATGAGGTGTGCAGAGCCGTGGGGAGGGTCTGGGTGGCACATGGGGGGGGCTCTGTGTTTCCTGTTGCACCCCAGGTAGTGGGTGGAGCATTGCCTGTGCCTATGCTTGCACTTTCTTTCCCTCAGGCTCTCCCTTCCTACAGCCTGAAATGGAGGGATGTGTCCCACAGCATCTGACCTACCTTCTCCCAGCTCACATCTTTTTACCATTTCCCACTGGATGTGTGTGAGATGTGGGCTATTTTGTAGAGCCCTGTGTGACCTGGGCTGCAGCTCTTGCTAGGACCTTGCTGGGTACCCTGCTTTGACCACTCTGTGGGCAGCTGTGTGCCTTCCTAGACCTGGACCTTTCCTAGAGCATCCCTTCTCCATTGTAGGTGTTCCGTCACCTTGTGCGGCCCCTGATTCAGATGAGCCTGGCGCTGCAGTGCCAGGTGCAGGAGCTGATTTCCCTGCTGCTCCAGAAGGATGCTGAGATCGAAGATTACAGGGAGAACGGGGCCACTCTCAGCAGAGGTGAGGAGGGATGCCTGGGGCAGAGAGCAAGTTTTCTCCTTAGCACTGGGCTGGTGTGCTTTGCTCCCTCTGGCTATTACCCATCCTACCTTTTGTTTCATGCTTAGCTAAGCCAGCAACACAACAGGAGCCTGGATCTGCCCTGTAGGTGCACTAGAGCTGCATTGGTCAGCTGCACTTCCCTCTACCCTGCTGCATGCAATCTCTGCAGGGCTTGGAGCAGCCTGGACAACTTGTCTTGGGCCCAGGGACTGATGCTGGTGAGCAGCTGGCCTGTCTTGTCCCTTGCTTGATGCAGGGCAGAAAGCTGTGAGGAAGCATTGCAGCCTAGTGCTGAGCAAATCCAGCCAGCTGCTTCTCCAGACCACATCTTAGCAACAATGTGGGAAAACTAGTGTTTTGGACAAGGTGCAGAGCAGAATACTGTGTCCTTGTCCTGCAAGAGGAAGACACAGGCTGGCTCACCCCTTCAGATGAGCAGCTGGACAAGCAGTGTCCTGTCCCACAGACTCAGACAGCTTATTCCAGCTGTAAGATCTGGGAATGGTGTTGAGCATGCCTGCCACCTTTCCCTACTCCTCAATGCAGAAGTGCTGGGACAAGTGTGGATGGACTGTTGCCTGGCTGGCTGTGTGCATCAGCAAGCTCAACCATGTTTTTCCAATTTCCTTGTAATCCTTGCACCTTCTGCTAACCAGGTGATGTGTCCCTAGCCTGAGAGGCCTGCTGGTGTTTCCTGCTGATTCTGGGAAGAGCATGCTGGAGCTTTTCCCCTGCAGCATCCTCGCTCTGTGGTCAGGGAAAGGGGAGCTGGGGTGGGAGGTCTGGCCAAAGGCTGATCCCTCTCTCCCTTGCAGACCGCCTGCGGACAGAGCCCTTCCAGGAGGAGACGTTTCAGCAGAACTTCATGGCTGAGGTAAGGAACGGTGCAAGTCCTTCCTCCTCTGCCAGAGGGGTGGTTTCATTAGCAGCTGTAGTGTGAGGTGTGCCAGGCTGGATGGGAGCTCTGATGGGGTTAGCTAGACTTGCCTAAAGAGGAGTCATGCCCTCTAGCTCTCCCATGGCTCTTTGTGTCCTTGCACCTCATCTCTAGGGCTAGGAGAGCTGGGAACATGCCTGATATAGCCGGATGGGAACCACCTGGTCGCTGGGAGCTGCCAGAGGTGCGAGCCAGGCTGGCTGCTTCACAGGAGTGTGCCATCACTGGGGCATATTCACCTGCCTCCCAGAGTTGCTTTGGACCTAAACACTAAACACTGCTGCTGATGGCAGGCCGGGATCAGGTGAATGAGGAGAAGCCATCTCTTTTTTAGTTCACCTGTTGCTTTTAGAGGTGATTTTGCAGTGACACATTGTGGGGACAAGAGCTTTTCAGCATGTTATCCATGCTCTGCCTATCACTGTCTCCTTGACACATTCAACTCTTAAATCAGATACGTGTTTTGGAGAAACTGAGACTGGAAGGAGAGAGTCTTTGATCCTTTTGCGTTACTGGTAATCATCACAGAAGCACTAAAATGATTCAAACTGATGTGTCAAGGTCAGAAATGCTTGATGCCCATTGATGCAAAAGGACTTGGCACGTTCATGAGTGTTCTGTGCTCGCTGTGAAGGCACAGGAATGGGGGCAGTGGTACCTGCTGGGGACCAGGTAGTCAGCCAGGGTGCCAGTGGGATCACACAGCCTTTGGGAGGATGTTGCTTTATGAGATGAGCTGATGTTCTTTTGCAGCCAACAATAGATGATCTGCAGAGTTTCTAAAAATTAGAGATGATCCCTCTTTTATATTCGAGGCATTGCATCCAGTGCAGGCAACTTCCCCCTGGATTATGAAGGATAGAGATGAATTCACTGCTGGACTGCAACTTGAATGTTGCCTAGGGACCAGTGATCATGACCAGATTACATTCACCCTGGGCACAGAAAGGACATTCCTAAGCAGTAATTTATATCCTTCATGCCTTGAAAGAGCTAATTTCCCAAAGCAGGGGGAAAATTATAAGTGAAATCAGCTCAGAGGAAACATTTAGATAGAAAAATGTGAATGAAAATGGTGAGCTCTTTCAGAAGAATTTCAGAAGCCACAAAAAGCCACAATTCCACAATCAAGAAAGAGGGCAGCGCTGGCCCAGAGCCCGTTCTGGTTCAGCAGCAAAGTGAAGGCAGCAATTAGAAATAAAAGAGCAGTTTATAACAAATGGGAGAGCCAGAGTAGATAGCTATCAATATAAATTAGAAATTATGAAGTGTAGAAAATGGGTAACAGAAGCTAAAGACATCAGGGAAAAATCATGGCGATGAACAGAAGGAAAGGCTTTTATTTAGTGTAGCAGGAGAAAACCTCAAGCTCCCAGCAATAGGATAAGCTTATTAGTAGACAGAGGTGGTAAAATGATTTATACTGGGCCAGACATGGCAGAAGCAGTTGGTAAATGTTTCAGTGATGTCGCTGGGAGGGTGCAGGCAGATGTGCCAGGATAGGGGGATGATGAAGTATCTTTGTAGAAGAGTCATCTGAGCAACATCTGCTAAAGATAAACATCAGGCTTGAAATTCAAACTCCTCCAAGAGCTGGTAGGGTCTGGGCCATGGGGGAAGGTGCAGAGTGGGCAGGAGGCAGCCCTGCACAGAGCCTGGCAAAAGCAGCTGGTGTGGAGCACATCTGGCACAGGCTGAAGGATGGGATGGTTGTTGGTGCTGTGTGTCCCAGAACAGTCCAGGAGCAGTGCCTTGGAACAAGATGGGGAATGGAAGGCTCTGGGAGATGCTGCTCCTCTGAATCCTCTGGTAGCCAGAGCACTGGCTGCAGGGGAAAGGCTGGTGGAAGTTGTACATTTGGTCTGCTGGGAGGGTGTGTCCTCTCTGTATTAATCTCATTCTTTATAAAGCTGATGGATGCTGATGCCATCCTGCAGCAATGAGCTGTGAGATGTAAACAGCTGCTGCCTTTGGTTTGAATATGGTATCCCATTGTTCTTCCCGATGCCTCCTAGGTCTTGTGTTAGTGAGAAACACCAAACATGGTTTTTCAGTTCTTCACCACCAAAACTGGCTCTTCACCCCAGTCTCTCCTCTCGTCTCTTGTGGCAGAAAGGTGGTCTGGGTGACCTCATTGTCTCTGTGCAGTTACTTCAGAGCCTCCAGGCAATATAATACTCTGTCAGCTCCTAAAAGGAGCAGCACAAGGAGCTGGGGTTCCTCAGGACATGCTGTGGGGAGCTGGGAATGCAACGAACAACTCCCATGTCTAGGTTTTCAAAAAGATGCTGGACAATCAGCACAGAGTCACAGGAATGAATTGAGGACTGGGGAGAGAGCCCAGCATTGAGGGACTTGGAAGGGAAGAGCTCTGTTTAGCTTATCAGGGAGAAAATTGAGAGGTGCCTTGATTATTGTGTGTGCAGGTCTTTACAAGGAGAAAAGGCTGGTTAGTGAAGGGCTCTCTTTAATCTTGCAGGGAGCAGTGGAGCACAAGCCAGGCACTGGGAGACAGAGCCAGGGAATTTCAAGTTAGAATGGAGGCACTTGGGTTTGCTCCTGCCAGTGATCAGGGCATGCTCCCAAGGGTAGTGGTTGATCCTCCATCTCTTAATGTCTCCAAAAGTGGGCTAGGAGCCTGCCTGGAAGAAAACCAAGTTGCTGGGTTTGGTCTTGGGATGTGCATGATGACAGGAGGTCAAGAAGAGAGATCTGTTGGTCCCTCTAGTATCTCCATCTGTGAATGGGGCAACAGGTTGTGGATGTTTGGTTATGGTAAGCACCTCTTGGCTGGAAAGGGATTGTGATGATGTGGTACAGGGCTGGATGTGGGCAGGTGCTCCACAGCTTTGCTCACTTCCCAGATATTTGCTGTATCCCACATGGAGAGGAAAGGACCTGTCAGTCCCCCAGGGACTGCAGAGCCTCTCACCTTAGACATGCTCTTTATCTGGGCTTGTGCACTTGGCTGTCCAGGGCATTTTAACTAACCATGGGGAGTTTTCCAGCAAAGCCCTGGTAATATTTATACGTTTAGGAAATGATGCTTTCACACACACAGTTTTTGGCAAGGGTTCACTGCTGAGCAGCTGCCTGGGCTTGAGCAGAGCTGGAAGGAGAGCAGTGGCTGTGCACAAGCCGAGGCAAAGCTGGTGGCTTTTATTGGCAAGCCCAGGGGTTCACACCATTAGGGGAAGGAGAAGGCGGCTGGAGAGGGCTTGATGCTTCAGGGCTTCCCCAGCACTATTCCCAGCAATCTAGGACCTGTCAGGCTGGGGATACATTGTCCCCTGGTGTCCCTCTGGGTTACAGAAATGACCCCACAGGGCAGGTGAGGTGGCCACCCATGGGTTTTGAGGGCCTGCCCCAGCTTGGCTACAGTCAGCGTTTCATGGCACAGCTTGTTCCAGAGTCTGCAGTCCAACTTAGAGAGAAAACAGTGAACAGGTTCCTGCAGCACCGTGTCCCTTGCTCTGAGGAGGGCAGGGACAGGTACATCGAGGACAAGCTCATGGATACCATCAGTGCAAATATAGCCCCGTGCCCCAGGATGCTCTGCCCGGTGTATTTTTATATTTTTATCTGCTGTGGCTGGCGCGGGGGCGGCTGGCTGCTCCACACCTCCGCAAGCAGAGCGCGGGACCTCGGCAAACAGGACGCGGCGGGTTCACGGCTCGACCCCGGGGCCCGGCGAGGAGGAGGAGGATGTACCATCAAAACAAGCAACGCTGGAGAGGAAGATAAACAAACAGGCAGCTTCCAGTGTGGCCCCAGCCGAGGGCGAGTGGGAGCCCCGGGGCCAGGGCTGGCGGTGGTGCCGGCAGCGGTGCTGGCTGACGTCAGGGCGCCCGGGGGTCAGCATCCCTCTTATTGTTTCCCACCGGGGCTGGGACCAGGGCCAGGCACCCGTCCCCCTCCCGTGTGGGGACACAGGCCAGCGGGGCAGGTGGAGGATGGCCAGGACACGCTCTGGAGCCACAGGCCATTGCCACCACGGGGTCCGGCCGGGTACCTGGCTGCTCACCCCCTGCCTCCGGCACCTGGTCTCTCCTTTTTAGCAGTAACTAAAAATAAGCCCTGGGTAGCAGAGTGGCCATGGTCTGGCCAAAGACGAAGGCGGTGGTGGCCTGCGTATTTTGCAGGGTGGGGACGGCATCCCTCAAACCCACGCCAGCTTAGTGCAGCGGAGAGGAAGCAGCCCTTTGGCTCCTCCAAACGAGGGATGTTTTTAATTAGCACAAGGTAGCTGCGGCTTTGCAGCTGCGACTGGGCCAGAGCGGGGTGGGCGGCATGTGTGCAGCACAGGCTGCGTGCACACGGGGTGCACGGCCTGGGGACAACGTGCTGGTGGCCACAGTGCTGCTGCTGTCAGGGCTAAGTTGTGCAAAATTTTCACAGCCCTGAGCAGATTGGCTCAGGGCAGAGGTGGCAGCATGAGGCTGGCTTGTGGGGCAGCTTGGATGAGCAGAGCAAACTCTTGTGTGCTGCCAAGCGTTTGTGCTGTGAGCCCCATGGGTGATGGTTGTTCTGGATTGGGGCCACCCGGGTGGTCCTTGCTTCATTCCTGAGCAAGCTTTGGTCACATCATCCCATCACTGCCCTGGGGTCTGAGTCGCACACTGGAAATGCAGTGAGCTATGGCTGTGCTGAGCAGAGTGGGACACACACTGCCCTGCACACACGTGTACTCAGGGAGCTGCACGCTTGTACTCACTGTGAACACATGTACCAGAGCAGGAGCCTGAGAACAGGACTAGGAGTGTGCATGCTGGTACTGATGGAAGAAGGGCAGAGTGCCACATCTGCTGGCTGAAGAGGACAGGGGACAGGGGCTAGCACTTAGTGTCCACGGTGGTGCACTTGGGGAGATGCGCTGGTGGTCATCACAGTGTGGGTGCTGACCACCGCCTAGGCACCAGCCCCCTGCGGTATTTGCC